GAACCAGCTGATATTAACTTGCACTGACAAGGGGCAGGCTTGCTTTCAAATTACTGACAGAGTTCAGCTGGTGTCTTGGCTTTTTTACACCTCCCTTTCTTCATGTGTTCAATACATTTTCCCTGTGCCATTCCACATTATTACAAATAACTTCATTTTTGGACATTTCTGGTTTGATTTCTTTGTATGTATGGATCACTTGGGTTGTTACCAACATCTGGTAAAAATTTCATGTCATTAGCACCTCTAGTAATATATTTACTGAGAAAAATGGTGACGTGTTCAATACTTATTTTACCCACTGTAGCTACATGTTTTCTCAGTGTCTTTCCAGACTTTTAGCTCTTAGCTATCTTTTTTCCCTTTTAGTTTTTAGCTAGCGTTTTGCTACTTTTGCTTTTGTCCAACACAGTTAGCTGACCTTTTACTTTTTAAACTAGTGTTTTGCTAGTTTTTAATTTTTAGCTAGAGTTTTGCTTCTTTTAGCTTCTGCTTCTCTTTGCTTCAACAGGTCATTTTCAGCATCTTCAGCAAATTTCAGCAAAGCCAATCAGCACTCAGCATTCACACTTCATTACCACAGAAAATGTATATGTTGTTTTGACGTAGTTGTGTTGCTTCTGTAACTAAATGTTTGGTTTTAAAGACAATATTGCAAATTTGTCTTGTGATTTCTCTCCACATTGCAAACTTCAAGTAAATTCTCTCAGGAATGTTGCTAAATGGACGACCCACTCGTGTTGTAAAGTTTTGTGCTAAATCTGACTCTGTTTTCAGGGCTTTGTTTGACTACGATGGAAGTGGAGCAGATCTGAGCGCTCCCAGTCAGCCCCTACCGTTTCATTTCGGGGATATCCTTCATGTGAGCAGCGCTGGTGAAGAGGAGTGGTGGCCCGCCCGTCACCTCAGCCCCCCGCCCCCAAACTGCCCGGAAGTTGGAGTCATCCCCAGCCGCAGGAGGTTAGAGAAGCCACGTCATTCAACTTAAAGACCTCTCTGAATTACTTAAAGTGCCTGTGACGTGCATATGCATCTTTCTATTTAAGAAACTTAGCATAATACACATGACTTTACAATTTTTGTCACATAACTGATATTTTATTTTAAACTTGGCTCAGTAAAAGTGAAACAGGAAGTGACATCAAAGGGGAACTCTTTAAGAAAAGGATCCCTGGTCTTTGTTTATTGGAACAATATTATATGAACTCTGACTCTTCATATCTTTCATAGTGCCTTAAAATTATCTAAAGAAACATCAGAACTTTCTCTACGGTCTGTGTTGTTAGTTATTGTAGCTACGCTTTGTTCACATGCAGACGTTCCCCTTTGACATCACTTCCTGTTACTTCACATGTGAATATCTCAAGAACTGTTCATCTCAGCAGTGTGAAATTTGTTTTGCAACACACTATGAATGCTTTCTTTTCAAAAATGCATTCAAATTTATTACAAAAATTTGGTGTCACAGACACTTTAAAACATTTTAAAATAAAAAAAGCATCTGGTATTTCCCAAACTTTTCCAAGCCGCGAACCCCAAACAGCATTAGCTTCTGACCAGAAACCCCTCTTTGCAAACCCACAAACAATGCTTCAAAATATACAAAGAAACATCATCTTTCATAATTTTTTTCTGCACTTTTATTCACTATTCAGTAATTAATTTGTTTATTACAAGAATTTTTATTAACTAGCATGTTTTAAATCCTGTATATTTTCAAAGAAAAAGAAAACTTTTCAAGAAACTGTTGGCTACAAAGCAGAGAGCTTATGCTTTCTGCATATAATTTTTTTCCACAGTTTCCTCATAACAACGTAATATGTCAGTTTCCTCATGATAATGACATATTACTGTATATCACTACCATGAGAAAACCATGGAAAAAAAGTATATGTGAAAAACGTCTGCTCTGTAGTTGATGTTAAGAACAGAACAAAAAAATACAAATAAAAAAATCAAACCTCTCTTAAACTTTCCTTAATAACATTTTTATATATTATTATAAATTACATTACAAAATAAGGATTAAAACAGAGTAAATTTGAAGATACTGCTTTAAATTTTTTTGATTTGTTTTATTTTTGCTTATTTTCTCTTATCTTCCTTCCAGCTTCCTGAAGACCCCCTAGCGCCCCCTGGTGGCCTTATGAATATCAAAGTATTGTCAGTACCTTTCAGTAAAAGCAGATTTGATGTCGTGCAAATGAATAAAACACTTTTCTTCACTGTTAAGAGATAATTGAGATAATCTGACAGAGGATGTAGTGTTCTAATACCACTGGACTGAACACTTTAACATTCTCTGGGCTGTTTTCACTGAAAGAAAAAGAAAGCTTTATCTGTTTCAAATATCACAGTGTTGGCAGTTTTTCACTGACTCACCCTTCAATTGTAAAAGCGTAGTCCTGGGGTGTAAAAACAGAAACATTGTTTCCTTTTACCAATGGTTTCCTGGATGTTTTCTCCTGTGAAGCAGGTGACAGACAGATGCTGACAGGTTTCCGGGAGGTGAGGAGACTATTTAGAACACTTCACGTTGTCATGCGTGACAGAGAGAGGGAGGGGGGTGGGGGTGACGTGGAGGAGAAGATGTGAAGTGTGATGGAGTGGAAGGAAAGAAAGTGAGCAAGTGTTCCAGGGCAGTGAGTCGTTGAAGGAGAGAGAGAAGGATTAGAGTCGAGAAGGAACGGGGGAGATGTTTTCACCCTGAGGTTTGATGGAAGGTGTGGTGGTTGGTGCTAATTAAACAAGAGTTTTACAGTGAAAGTCTCAAAGCTGAAACATACTGCAACCAGATTTTAAAAAGATCTAAACATAAATGTTTAGCTAGTGTACTGCAGGGCTTAAACACAAAAAAATGTACAATAGGTTGCACCCAGGCCGCCCTAGAAAAAGAGATCTGTGATCTCAGTGGGATTTGCCTGGTAAAACAATGCTAAATAAAATAAAAATAAAATGTAAAATATTTGAATAAATACTTTTATTAGGGTCAATAGACAGAGAAAACATCGGAAATAATTTTTTGAAGCAACCAAAATAAAGATGGACATTTTTGCTTTTGCAATGTTTAAATAATTAAAGCGGGTAAAATAAGTATTGAACACGTCATCACTTTTCTCTTTAAATATATTACTAGAGGTGCTAATGACATGAAATTTTCACCAGATGTCGGTAACAACCCAAGTGATCCATACATACAAAGAA